GGAAGAGCTTGCGCGTTTCGCAATCTGTAAGGGCTGGCTAGTAGTCTTCAGCGAGTCATTAGCCAGATGCCGGCCACAGGGGAGAGTCGCCGCATATTCGTGATGGGAGTGGTTGTAGGAGGCGAAAGGGGCCGAGTTTGGCTACAGTTTCGAACCGGTCTTCTTGCATCCTGTTGAGCATTCTCACTTCTGTAAAGAACGCTTGGTAAGTATTATAGGCGCGAATTAGTGATGTAAAGCCCCTCTAGATCCTTTGGCGTTGATTTTGATATCCAAAAGCTGGCGGGAGTGTTTGGTGTTGATGAGGTTTTGCATGAAACAACTCTCATGATGCATATCCATCCAGTTTTCAGAGTCAGTCAACCGTCACCACAGTTTATTTATTATCTGGCTGATAGAACTAGCATGCTAGATGGGAGTCATGAATAGATTCGAAAGTTCAACTACGAGCAGTTTCACCTCCTGGACAATGGCTGGTTAATTACTCAGCCTAGACTCCTTTCTTACCTCGCATTTTTCCAAGACGTAGAACTCTCTAGGACCACAGACTCATGTCAATAAAGGACTGTGTTTTGCATGACAAGATACTAGTCTTGTGTAGGCCTATCTTGTAGACTGCTCGGTCTTGGTGCTACGTGCTCAAATAACGACAGTGATCATTCGTACGAGACCTCATGACGGATAAGAACCGTCGAATCTAGCCGGACTATAAGCCGATTGCATTGAATAGAAGAGAAAAGATCCAAGAGCGTTTGCAGAAGCGAACAACTCGCTAATTCCGTTTATTGCTGGTATTACGCCCTATATCTCCAGTAGATGCTGGCACTCACAGACTTCCTTGAATTGCTATACGCGACGCAAGGTGGTCAGATCACCTAAATATCTAGTATCTTATCTTCAAGTCGTATATGCCAGTAATCATTATCTAGAAAGACGTCTAGTCAGCACAAAGATCTGGTGGGTACTGTTGAAATCTCGATCTATCAGGATTAGAAACCCCCTGGTAAAGGGATACACGAGTGTTCATGAACAGTCTGTAGAGTGCAAAGGATCTAAAACGACAAGTTATCACACCTCGTGCTTGTTTGTATCTATGTTCTCTCTTTTCTCTCACTTATCCACGAGATTCCGACGTTTGTCATGCTGTTGCTCGTCACTGGAAGTTCAACGAAGTTTCGGTCCCGGATTTCACCTAATAAACTCCTCTCAACGGAAGTGATCTTTACGAGTCATTTTGGTTCACTAGTAGGTCGATATTCTCAAGAAGCTTCCACCTACACATAATTACTGATTTGGCGACTCCTGGCTGGAGTGAGACGAAAGCCATCTTCAACCAGGGTAGGTTCTTCATGACCGATCGTGATCCCTCGTCGTGAAAAGACCCGAAGGTAAAACCCAAGCCTAAGGATTTGACACTCTATGGCACGGGTTTAGAAACAAATGCTGTCATCACTACTGTAGACCTGTTTTCTCTGACTTACTATAGTCCGTCTGATCACCTGGTGCCTTGTAATATATGCTCTTCTATTAAGATGGTTGAAACTCTCGCCCTTTGTAGGAGCCATTTTTTCATTAGATGGGCTTTCGATCTCTTTCTTATATCCGGCGTAAGTAGTTAATGTCGAAGGAGTGAATGTAAACTCTATATAACTAGCCTATTGTAATCGTAAGACTTAGGTTCAATCTTGGTTAACCATATCGAATAGTATCTCTATCTCTGACTGGGTCTATATATATTCACTCGCGCTTACTTTGGGCAGAGACTGTGTAAACCTAGCTTGCTTGATATTTGTTCGTCCTGTCTTAGACCATGGTCTGGAACGTCCGTCAAGCCCGATAATTATGGTGTGAGGTATGAGGAACATCTGTGTATTGCATGATCCATATGGATCAATCAAGGGAGAAGATTAACCGCAGCAATGCCTACTTTATGAGCTCCTGCTATAATCGATTCTATGGTGATACGATAGCACGATCTGTGGACTCGAGAGGAAATAATATTACACCGCGGAGAAGTAGCAAAATGTCGTTGCAATGGCAGCTACTTCACAGCGCACAGCGATTACCGTAGACGTGCGGGAAGCACTGTTTATTGGAGTAAGAGTAAAGCCAAGTTCGAGATATATTTAGCTTGACTAATATAGTCGCTTGTAAATGAAGACTAGGTTACGATTCAAACGATAGTAATACAAATTGTACAAGAGATTCTGCTGAGTGTCGCTTTAACTTTCGTATTAGTACATTGGTTCTAGTCTACCAGCCGAGGCAGATAGTACTTGACGTTTTCGTAGACAAGGAAAGTGATCCAAGTTGCTGGCATAACCCTGATTACGCCCGGAACCAACCCACGATAGAAGCCTCGAACACCTTCCTCCCTCCAGAGCTGTCCGACTACTCCTGTAATGCCCCTTCCAAAACGTGACTCGGCATCGTAATTCTGTAGTCTACTGCGAATGACTTGATAAGGATAAGTTACAGCTCCGGCAACCAGCTTTGATGCAGTCGATATGACAAGAGTGGCTTCATTTGTGAGCCGGTCCACCCCTATTTCCACATTTGCAGAACCCTGCGCAGCTCTCCTCTTTGCGTGACGCGCAGAATACCACCGCTTGACTGGTTCATACACTGCAAACTGCACCGCTCCATGGCTGACCCCAATGAGGCTGATGCCTAGGCCGCGGTAGAAGCCCTTCACGCCCTCGTCGTGGAAGAGCTGCTTGGCCCCCGACCACATACTCGGGTAAGCGCCAACCGAGCTGCGGTCGGAAGAGATCATGCGCGTCTTGAGGACCCATATGGGGTTCGTGATGACTTGGACACAGGCGCCGGCAAGCCCGGATGCAACGAAGAAGTCTGTCGGCGTAAGATTGGCCTTGGATGATGACTCCGATGTCTCCCTCATAAGCACCTCTGAAATTGGCGCTGGGGATTTCAAAGTTGCCATCGCACGCTCAATGCGTGACTTGAAGAAGAAAAAAGATGCCCAGCTTGTCGCGTTTCCAAGTATGTTCGGCATAAGACCGCGGTACACGGCCGTGACAGGACGATCTGCTTGGAGAAGCCCTCTCATGACAGCCTTTGCTGTGATTGGGGTGGACGTTGAAGAAGCAGTGCTCCTGTGAACTGTCCTTCGGAATCAGTAACCCACACGTTTGAAATCAGTGGATGTTCAAGTCAATCTTTCTTACTTTGCATCCGTGTCTTGACAATATCAAGAGGGTGCACAATCAAGGTCGCCATGGTACCAGCGGAGAGGCCGGCGATAGTCTCAACGACGGCGGGCGACAGCCCTGTGTATTTGCCATCAGTCATACTTCAAGATTTCTACATTTGAAGGCTGAAAGGTCGAGTGGATGTTGCTTTCTTGAGAAAGCTCATGAGCAGAGGAGTTCGTCTGCCGGGGCTTGTAAGCGGTTCATCTGCGTCATGATTCGTCCATGACTTATGAGGATGCTGAACTGTTTCTTTTTGGTTGTGATGAGTATAGCTTATGTGAAGAGCTTTAGGTACTTGACTCGCAACCTCGTTCAATGACTTCTTCTACACAAATGAACTCGCAGAGTTTGGTTGGAGAATACTCTTACAAATTATCGAGATGGTTGATGTTGTTTTCTCGTAGTAGTTTCGCGGTGATTAACCGAATTTCCAGGCGGTTAGTCAAGGCTTTATGCGGCTAGCCGATCTCTCACTTTACGTCAGTGAGTATGGCAGCAATTCGACTCGCCAAGCTGCTGTACGCCTCTGTGGTGCTACAATAAGGGAAAAATATGCTCCAAGTCGTGAACGTCTCTGTGAGTTAGCATATCATAACTTAGTGGTCATTCCCCATTGACATCGGGTACGAGAGACCATTTTCTTCGCCTTGAAACGAATTCTTACTGAGCCATGTTCATTTGGCCATGTTCATTTTCATTGAGTGGTCTGAAGCTCGTCATTATGGTAGTACATATTTAACATGGACCTGTCACTGGTAGACAAATCTCTTGTGATATCGCTCTGACATCACGCCGTGGATGCCAGATATGTGCCAGATCTCAACCCCGAGCCGCTTTCTCCCTTCTTCCCCTTTCCGTATAATTTACACTGCCATAATCCTGCCTGCGCCTAGATTCGGGATTCGTCTAAGAAAGAGGGGACAGGAGTCTGCTGAAAGTCAGTCGACTGTTGCTCGAGATCTAGGAGACGTGGGCCTCCTGTGGCTGCGGAGGACGTACCTGATGATTGACGGTCGAGGCTCGCTGCGCGTGTATCCTGGAATCTTTGTTAGACATTCGTAGATTATAGAATTATTCGATAACCATCTCATGAGTCGAAGTCATGTCATACCGAGGTAAAGGATCAGGGGCAGATATCCACTAGAAGAGTTGTTAGCCATCATTCCAGCACATGCAGTCTTGCATTACAACTCACTAGTGAATGGCAACTCGCGAGACCTCAATGATCTTGCCGATACGCTCCTACAATCGTCAGTCAGCCCAAGGTGACCACAATGAACTTCCCAAATTGCCTACCTTGGACTCTTCTGATAGTGCAAACATCTTGGTTGTTGGGCTGCGCGCCGTTTGAAAAGGGAATCTCTCAGTCGTGACTTGACGAAGCAGCTATCCAACAAACTGATGATGAATGGCCTTGGTAGCGAGTATTGGAAACGCAGGACCTTTCGGGAAGGGAAGAGATGCTGGTGATGAATAGCGCGGGTTGAGGACGAGGAAGAGCTCGAGTCCCAAAAATTTAGGAGCACTCGGGAGGAGCTAGGGTCCCACTTTCCAAGGTGAACGCCTACGTTCACCTAAAGAGGACCAACCAGACTTGCGAAACTCTTCCACACCTGGCCCATCCCGCAAGCACGCTAGGCCCAAAGTTCTTGCGCGGCCGAAAAAAGATGCTGAAGCTCAAGCCAACCGCGATCGAGGTGACAGCGGAGGATATTCGGGCAGACACTCGTGAAGATTGTTCCTTCGGTACTTTCCTAGGTCCCTTGCCGCCGGAGTCTGCTCAAGATGGCGAACCGACACTGGTGAGTTCATTTTGTTTTTCACTAGTCTACAAAGCTCCCTTTTTCTACCAGTTTCCGCGCCTACTATCCCATCAATCAAACAAGAGCTTGATACTGACAGTTTTGCAGGGAGCAGAACAAGGATGCGACGGTGTATGTAGGGAACTTGGACGAGAGGGTGACGGAGGCTAACCTCTGGGAGCTGATGATCCAGATGGGTCCGGTGTACAATGTGCACATGCCCATGGACCGCGTGTCGCGCACACACCAGGGTTATGGCTTCATCGAGTTCGACACGGCCGAGTCCGCCGACTACGCGGCCAAGGTGCTCAACGGCGTGCGCCTGCACCAGAAGCCGATCCGCGTTAACAAAGCCTCCGCCGACAAGCAGAAGCCGCAGGACATAGGCGCTGAGCTCTTCATCAACAACCTCGACCAACAAGTCGACGAGAAGACCCTCTACGATACCTTCTCCCAGTTCGGTGGACTCGTTGCCCCGCCTACCGTCATCCGCGACCAGAACAACATCTCGAAAGGATATGGTTTTGTATCGTTCGACAGCTTCGAGGCTAGTGATGTTGCCAAGGAGACCATGAACGGGCAATACCTGCTTAGCAAGCAGATCACCGTGGAGTACGCATACAAAAAGGATGGCAAGGGCGAACGCCATGGCGACGAAGCAGAGAGGAAGCTTGCAGCAGAGGGCAAGAAGCACAACATCGTTCCCGAGCAACAGCCTCTGCCTCCGGCGTTCCTCATGACGGCTCCCGCACCCGGCGCTGTCGTTAACGGCGCTCCGCCTGGATACGTCGACCCTCTCGCTGTTGGTGCTCCGCCTGGCGGCGCCGCTATCCCGCCGCTCGGCATCCCGGCCGGGTTTGGCGCTTCTCCCATTCCCGGTGGCGGGCCCAGGTTCGACGGGCCTCCAGCTCCTCCTGGCTTCGGCCGCGCCACGAACCTGCCCCCTGCTCCGTCAGGTCTACCCGCTCGCCCTCCCCAGAGCTCCGTTGGCTTCGGCGGCCCTGTCGGCGACTTCCACCCCGGTGGACCGCCCTTCCGTGGTGTCCCGCCACCGGGCCCGACTCCTCCAGGTTTCGCTAATGCCCAGCCTCCACCTGGCTTTGGCACTCCTCCCAACGCCGCTCCATTTGCGCCGCCCCCAGGATTTGCACCACCTGGCCAGGCACCCCCTCCTGGGTTTGGCCGCCGCTGAGCTACGGCGTAATGTATACGGGCCGATGTCGGTGTAAGATAAACGCATGTTTTGTTATACAAGAGCAAGCCATCAACATTATGGATGGCCATCAGTTATCAGAGGTTGTCTGGACAGTGGGTTAAGCCTCCCTAAGCCATGCCGGCATACGGTATCCTAACAGCAGCACAGTATCCCAACCTCCATCAAGTCACGATATAGTCCATTGGGCACATCGCAGACTTCAGAAATGACCTACTTTACGGTCATGTGTCAGGGGGTGGATGGACTTGGCGACCGGAGTCTGTCACGGTTATGAAAAGTTACGGACGGCATGGCATTTGAGATACCCCATGAGACTAGAGAATCGACGAACCGGTCCCTTTTGCTATTTGTCTGCTCTGATTTGTTCTCACCTGACCAATCGATATCGTCCCTTAGCTCCCCTCATGTGACCTGTAGTGGTACATATTGCGAATAACCGCTGTGATGCTTTTTTGGGTCCCTTTAAATGAATCCTGCCGCTTTGCTGCGTGCTGCAAATATCTTACACTTTCCAGCCGTCTACGCATCGCCATTTGCTGCGGCCTGCTCAGGCTTGCTCTTGGCTGCCTCAAGCAGGAACGCCTCTTCAATGGCAGAGCGTCTCCTGAACACACGCGCCCATCTGTTGCCCCAGCGCTGGATCAGCTTGTTACGCTGCTCGGCGCCCTCCTGTCCGTCCTCCATCATCTCGTCCTTGCTCCCCGCCGCCCAGGCAACCAGTGCGTCCTCCATGATCTTGAAGAGCTCGCGCATTGCCTTGATCTCGCGCTGCTTGATGTCCTCGGCGTCCATGTCGACATCTTGGCCGTTTGCGGCTTGCGGGATCGGGTTCTGAACCACTTGTCTGACGCGTCCAGTGACCTTGATGACGGTGTTGAACACCAGCTCATATACATGGGCTTGTGCCAATGCATCGCCGCGAGTCTTGCCGGCGTAAGTGATGAGGGCCCACTGAATCACGGCTGCTGGGCTCAAGATGGAGTAATTCAGCAGCTTCTCCACGATGCTCACGGCAACGCCCGGATGCGGGCTCCAGTACGCCATGACAGCAGATATTATCTGTGCTCGGGCTGGCTCAGAGGCGGCGCCCGCATCGAGGAAACGATCCTTGGTCCTTTCAATGGCTGCCAACACGTGTGAGAGGGACTTTGACCCAACCCAGAGGACAGCTGTGGTGAAGACGTCCGTGCTAGCTACCAAGGGATCTATGCCTTGATCCAAAGCAAGTGAATGAATTCGCTCGATGACAGGCTGGATCTCCTCATCGGGAGCCTTCCGTCTTAGAAGCTGCGCAAGTTCTCTACCCTCGGCGGCAAATGGAGTCTCTGTAGTGGCCGCATATTAGTATCTTGCTTCGACAAAGGTAGTTTTTGAGATGAAAAACAAAGAAGACTTACGGTCGTCCTTGAACTTGAATTCGGGAACGTCCTTCTCCTTCTCAGGACCAATGAGGGGCTGGTAGGGCTCTGGTAGGGTATTCTTGATTCGCTGAGCGAAGCTAAGACGAATTTCCTTGTCGATCGCGCTGATGATAAACGCCTTGAATGGGTGAAGACTAGGCAGATACACATCATCAACCCACTCCGTCCACTTCCAGGTGAAGCCGAAGTTGCTGAGATGGTGAGCGAACCAGTCGACGAATCGATTGGCCAGCTCAAGGTCGATACGAACGCTGTTTCGGTAGAGGAATCTTATAGCTCGTCCCAAACTGGGCGCAATCGCAGCTGGCGCGATCTTGCAGGATTCAGTCAGTACTGAATGGTAGTAGACTAGCTTGTGCTCAGGACTGGGAAGCTGGAATAGCTGGGAGAAAACAGCATCCACAGCCACATCCTCCGGCTTCCAGGTTGATTTGTCTGCCTCGATATCCCGAAGTCGGTCAAAGGGAGTAGCACGCTTAATAAAAGTGCCGTCTGCAAAAAAGCAGTCAATATCGATGAGAAACCTAGCGGTGACATTGCGATTATAATCGAGAATGTTGATGGTGTCCAGCAAGACGTCCCTAATCAGTGACGCAGCAATGTTCGTGACTGGTGGTACAGACTCAACATCCTGATCACCGTAGACGGAGAAGAATACCTCCGGGAATAACGGACGAGGTCCGGCAACGACAGTCTCGGGGATTGTGATAGCTGGCAGGGCATGCTTGGGGGAGCTGTCGAGCTTCTCTTGTTGCTCAATCTCCTCTGGCGGCATCGTCCAGGGCCGTGGCAGACAGGCAAGCTGCCAACCATTCGCTGCTTCCGTCTGAAGCTGCTTCTGCAGTAGCAAGATGAAACCCATTGATGCTGCCGGGCTCTCTTCGTTCTCCTCGGGGATGTATGGATCGATCAAAGCCTGCAAGGCGTGCGGTTCTGAGGCAATAATCTCGGTCTTTTCCATGAGATCTGCAGCCTTTTGTAGCCATTTGGCGGAGTCGGTCGATAGGACGTATGGGATAGTGAGCAAGATGATCTTAACAAGCTCGGTACCAATGGTCTATAAACAGCTTTGTTAACCAGAGCTTCCAAAACAAAGTGCGCTGCGATTGCGATCAAACTTACATCATCCGAGTTGGCAGTTTGCAGGTCAACAGCCCTGGCAAACAGCTCCTCCAGCACAGGAAACACGCCATCGCCCTCCAAGCAGCCCTGAATGCAGGCTAGGAACTTGAGGTAGAGCTTGACGTCTCTCCACTCGCCCAGCTTAATCTTCTCCTCCGTCGCCGCAGCCGCCTTTGCTAGCAGGTCATCCACGATCTTGGCGTCCGCTGGCACAGTGGTATTGGTAACAAGCACCACGGCGGCGGCGAAGGGCGTCTTGAGAGGCTGCTCTACGACAAGCTGCAGCACGAGGTCGACAAAATTGTTCCGCACCGCCTCGTCCTCGTAGTTCTCGGCGACCATGTTCGCGATGCCGAGCACCTCATCGTGCCAGCGGCGCAGAGGCGACTCGGCCAGATTCAATAGTTGCTTGCGGATGCGCACATGGACGGGCGCATCATGGCGCCGACGTGGCCCTCGGCGGTCGAAGCTGTCGTCGTCATCTGTGGTAGGGATCTCGCATTAGCAACTCGAAAGTGCAGGCGCCTCGGCCACAGATGTGCCAATCCAGGCAATTTGGTGATATCTCCTGTTTGTCTCAGCTTCGCATGACTTACCTCGATATCGTCTCTTTCTTGGATTGTAACCACCACCACCACCACCACCACCACCATGCCTGCGATCGAAATCGGCCATTGCAATGCAAAACAATCAAGGTAGATGCCAAAAAAAGAGCGTGGGAGGTATCGCAGCTCCTCAAAGTAATAGAGCTATGAAGTAGTCTGATACCTTGCGGCTAGTGAGGGTACCGATAGCTCCTGGAAGCTGTCTGCGTTTGGACGTGATGGGAAAACGCGAAAAAGTGCAGCCGAAATGACGAGGCTCTGGTGGCCGTCTCACAGCTCTCTCACATTCAGCCGAGTCTGCTTTTGGTTAGTACCTACCTAGTGGTTTTCAGCCTTGCATATTAGGCATTTACATCTTGCAAGGACACTAACGAGCTTACTATGGTTAGCCTCAGGATGACTGCGTGGGTGGTCCTAGCGTCAACCAACCCCTCCTCAGATGCGCTTGTCTCTTTGAGTCCCGAGCCTTGCCGCCTTTGCCTGCCCCCAGACAGCCCAGCCCTGGGCTGGAAATTCTAAGAGACCCTCCATGCCTGCTTGAATCAATGTACGAAGGAGGATGGAAATGCCTGTGCGCACTAGGAGTACTTTTGCTTCTTACCCCTCCCGCGGAGACTGTGCTCCAAAACACCACTATGACGTCGCTTCCGACCTGCAATGTCCCAGATGATGGGGTCACTTACTAGTCTGCAGACTGACTGTAGCATCGACCCGCCCTGCAGAGATCTCCCTAGAGGCGCATCATCAAGAATCAAGGATCGGTTTGCGGGGAGGAGGGGGGGAGGCTGACACTATATCCGGGGAAGAGACAGCGATGGGCAGAGACGGCTCAGTCGATCATCGACGTAGTATGTAGACAAGACTGATGTTGCTCGCAAAATGTAGCCAACGATCCAAGGCTCGAGGATAGTTGGCGATTTGATATACACGTATAGAAAAGTCACGGAATTTGCAATTATTTGAATTGGAGACCGTTTGAGGCTCTGTGGAAGAATCTGTCCATTTCATCATGGTAGCACACAGCCAGGAGCCGTAGACTTTTTGGGTTTTTTCCCCTTAGGTGATCTGGACCAACACAGCCAGCCCCCATTTCCGTTTTGTGCCGCCGGAGAGCCTGGCCGTTTCATGATCACGAATACGGCACGCCCTCAAAGAAACAAGAAAGAAGTAGATAGAAATCTTTTGAATCATGCCAGAGCCGGGGGGGGGGGGTTTTGAGGCTACAGTTCCACGCCTCTACCATCATCACAGGGAATCAAGCCTCCCCTCATCCGTAAAATGCCCTGCCATCCCTCTGCAATCCGTCCAGCGAGCCCTCGTAACCTCATCGATAAACCTAAGATATACTCCAGAATCCCCTAACCACAGCGTCGCGACGAGTCGGATTCCAGAGACCGCATGAAACAACTTTGGTGTGTGTGTATCAGGCCCGGCAGCTTTGAGGTTGCCTGCCCCAAGCCATGAACCCCTCCTTGGACATGAGGTGTGAAAGTAAGCAAAAGCCATCTCGGTCATGTAGCAGAGAAGTCTATGAGTTTCCATAAATCTTCCTCATTGCGGCCTCTCACAGTGCAATAATCAATCGATCCGTCCTTCCAGAGGATGCAAGGCCGTTTTACGATGAGCTTCCGTTCCCAACGGCACGCTCAATCTGGACAAAACGCCTCAACTCTTCCAAAAACACGGATCAAAATCCCCGCATGTGTGGCCAGTCGTTCAAGTCGTGCGATTATTCCTCCCTGGGGGCTATCCTGGGTTCCTTCCATTAAAAAGTCGCCGTACAGGAACGAAATGGTCATATGCTACTGCCTTCTTGCAAAATCATAGACAAATCCGATGTCGGCAACGTTCGTGCAAGATGAACAGTCCAGAGGAAAGGATTGTCGCGGCCGACGAATACATGTATCATACGTAAAATGGGGGGCGATCAAACGCCCCTCAGTCTAATTTCGCCATCATTTCTTGCTTCGTCATGGGTGTGAAATTGTCAATATCCAAGCCACGTGCTGCGAGAACGGGTCTCATGTGTGGAGGCACCAGCTGGTGGTTTAGATGCGGAGCAATTGATAACTCTGATGCCACAAACATTGATTAGCTATGCCAAATACTGAGATTTTGGGGGAGGAGGCTAACCGTGACGTGAGAAATCGAACAGTGAAGGAAGATCCCTCACTTGGCCAGTCTGGTGCCTCGAGTCAGGCAATCTCGTGTTAGGATCGCGCAGTTCGTCAAAGAAAGGATGGACCATTGCATCGATCGCGCCCAATCGTTCCGTCGGTGTATATTCGAGTAGGCGCGCGATCAAGTCAATAGCGTTCGCATCCGCCTTCCGGAACACCTTATTGAACGGATGAGGCTTGATCTGAGGGAACTTGTGCTCCATGTAGTTCGGGTTCATCGTTCGAATCTGCTCTCGCGTGGGTGTGCCCAAGACCTTGATGATTTCCACGAGTTGGTCGATACCCGATTCGCCAGGGAAAAGCGGCTGTCCGAGCATCAATTCTGCCATCACGCATCCTGTTGACCACACATCTAAAGGGGGAGATTTATATTAGCCATATGAAATCCTGGTTTATGCGTGAAGAAACCCTACCAATTTTCGTTGTGTAGTTTGTCGCCCCGAAAATCAATTCCGGAGCTCGGTAGTATCGCGAGCAAATGTATGAAACGTTCGGCTCATTCTCCACCAGTATCTTAGCACTGCCGAAGTCGCAAAGCTTCAAGATGCCAGTGGTAGGGTCCAGAAGGAGGTTTTGCGGCTTAATATCACGGTGGCAGATGCCCTGGGAGTGAATATAGGCAAGCGCCCTGAACAGCTGGTATATGTAGAGCTTGACTTCGAGGATTGGCATGGTCGTCTTCATCTTGTTGAAGAAACGCGATGCTCTGTACACGGTCTCGGGAACGAATTCCTGGACCAAGTTCAGGTAAACCTCGTCCTTCTAGCAGATCATTAGCCAAACAATCGATGGGCACCTTTGCGACCGTTGAATGCTTACACGCTCGCCATTGGAGTAGTAGAAGGCCTTAAGCTGTACAATGTTCGGATGTCGCACGATACGCATGATTTGCAGTTCGCGATTCTAATTGCCAAATGGTTAGGTACTAAAATGATGGTACGAAAACCATGTATTCCTACCTTGAACCTCTTATCCTGGAGCACGCGTTTGATTGCCGCATCCTCGTTGGATGGCGACAGCTTAGTCTGGAAGACAACGCCAAAAGATCCGTTGCCAACGATCTTGCATTGGGTATACTGCAGGTCTCGGGTCTCGCCGGTGATGCCGTCCTGGACCTTTTCGCGGATGACTTCTACACGCAGATAATTAGTATCGCCTCAAGTAGCTTGGATCAATTGTTTGGGTCATTTCTTACCCCCCATCCGTAGGGTATTGAAAGCTGCCGGCCGGTTTTGTGCCATCTTGTGGACCAGGACCGTTCAGATGCTATCGTTCTTCCCGGGATTGGCGACTACGGTCTGAGGAGGGGTGAGGGGACAAAATGGTAACCTGAGGAGGGCCGTGTTGGGCGACGACTCGGCGTGTTGACGATTTGTGGCTGGTCTGGTATGTGCAGGCTTTCCGACTAGGTATGCCGGGGTAATGCCTCCTCAAAAGCGAGATGAACTTCCCAAGATGGAAATATGAGACCGAAGCGTCAATAAGAAGAAGAATTTGTTCGCTGGAGTCGTAATTGCTCTTTCGTTACTCGTTGCAGGGCGTACAGCCGGGTGGTGCTGGTGTTTTTGGTTGGAATAGTAGAGGAGAAGTGGGCGGGGTGAAATGCGGTCGAGAGTGTCGCGCGGGAGGAAAAGAGGTTCCCTCACTGACTGACTGACAGACTGCGACTTTTGAGCGGTTAGTTATGCAAACACCGGCTCGCGAGCTAGGGCATTTAGATCGGTGGGTTTAGCAGGATGGGGGACTCGAGGAAAATATGGAGATGATTTGGGTTGTGCAACCGCCTAGGGTGAAAAGAGAGAAGGATGGGTGGTGGTGGTGGTGGTGACGGAGTGGTGGGGAAAGAAAGACGTTGAGAGTCGAGGAAAGGGACCGGGACGCAGATGCTTTTTGAGATGCAAGGTGGGAAAGGGCCGCCAGATATTGCGGGCGGACGACAGATCAGACAGACCAGGCCGGTTGGTTGCCAGCGCCAGTGCCAGAGCAGTGCCAACGACAGCTACTACTTACTAGTGGTACTGTAACTAGTAGTGGTCGTGGTCTAGGAGTAGAAGCACACCAGGAGTACCACCACCACCACCACCACCAACGAGCCAGCAGTAATGCAGAAACGTCAGGCGGGGGATGGGATGGGTCAGAACAAGAGGCGCCTGTGGAATGGGTGGCAACCCAAACGACGACAAGCCTCCCGTCTTTCTCTCTCAGGATATACAAGGCAGCGCGAGTTCTGACCTCTCGGCGGCCCTTGACGCTCCAGCTCCAGCTCCAGCTTCAGTCTGTTCAGAGGCAGGGGAAGTAAATGGGTGCCTTTGTATGATGGCGTGCGCTTCTGGATGTCCTTTTTTTGCCTGCCCGGACACGGCTCATGTGGTGGATGAAGCGAGGACCAGAGCACAGGAGAGCAGCTTGAGAGGGGTATAATATGTGGATGTGAGCGAGGGACGGGGAATCAATGCGTGAATGTATGCGTAGGTAGGTAGCTGTTGGCCGTGGTGCAGGTCTCTGCCTGTCCGTCTCTGTCTCTAATTTCTGGTTGGGATACACCCATGCTGCATTCTAGCTGCAGCAGCAACAGGGAGCAGGGAGCAGAGAGCAGGGAGCAGTTGCAGCGGACTAGCAAATAATAGCCAGTTGGGCAGACAGACGCTGCTGATGCTGCTTCTTCTGCTTCTGGGTCTGATGCTGGCTGATGCTGGCTGATGCTTCTCAATTACGTGCTGCTCCCTCCCCTCCATGCAGCCAGTGAGGTCAGATGGCAGGCTCTGGGTCTCAGAATGGGACTGCATGTACTCCAAGGTACCCGATCCTCGACTCACGAGCTCCTGACCCAGGTTCAAAGGAGGGGCAACTACTCCCTGTGAAAGGCAACGGATGGGCTACCTAGTGTAGGGCAACGACGAAGAAAGAGTAAAATGACAGAGCCGTAAAAGGAGAAGTGGAAAATAGGGAAAAAGGGAGAGGGAAAGATAAAAATGCACATACGGAAATCTCGAAACTCGCGCGCACACACACGAAACCACACGGTCGTCTTACAAGGTCGCGGAGTGCAGGTCGATCCAAGTGGACAAGCGTTCACTTCACTTGGGGAAGCGTAGGAGGAGGAGAGAAGAGAGGAGAGGAGAGGAAAAGAGTAGTGGCAGCAGGCAGAGCTGAAGCTGAAGCTGCCGGGCGAGTGAGTCGAGGAGGGGTAACAAAATAGACAGACGCCTGAGGTATAAAAACGGTCGATGATGTGGTTGGTAATGCCAGTCCTCAAAGATTGAAGTGGTAGCTGTGGCTGTCGTCTGCCCTGCTCGAATCTGAGCGCAAGACAATCGAAGTCAGCTTCTCCCCTCAGGTAGGGCTGAGGCGAGATGGAGCTAGGCAGGTCGCGGGTCTGCTCGAGCCCAGGGGAAGAGTCAATCAAGGTCAAGGTGAAGGTGAAGGAGGTGGAGGGAGGAGACGGGATCTCTGAATTGCCTCGTGGCGGTTGGCTGTGTGCTCTGAGCTCTGAGGTGAAGATGAACGACAGAGATCAGAACCAGTCAGTCGTTTCAGTTTCAGTCCAAATCCCGTCAGTAGTAGTAGGTAGGAAATAATAGCAGGCAGAGGACGAGAAAGAGGGGCAGGCAGGTCGACACAAGCTCGAAGAGAGGCAGGGTAAGGTACGGTACGGTAGGTAGGTAGTCGCTTTGGTCCGTCTGTCGGTCGGGAGCGCGGTAAGGAAGGTCAGGTAAGTAAGGTAAGGTAAAAAAGTAAGGTCTACCTAAGGGTGGAGTAGTACCTGAGGTCACTCCAGGTAAGTAGGATGAGGATGAGGTACTTTGGGTCGTGGTGGCTACGAGGTCAGGTAGGGATGTAATGCGAGGTACCTTAGTTGGGTGTTATATGGGTACCGCAGCAGCGCTTTCGTGAGGTCGGGTTGGCGCCGCCTTCGTTTTAAGCGTGGTTGTGGTATCGTGTGATGCAAAAGAAAAAGGTAGCGTGTGGGCTGGGGCCCGTGACCGACCGCCTGTGACGTGACTTGGACAAAGCAGATGGCCAAAATAGCCTCAATGGCTGGGCTGGGCTGCCGGGGTCGTCAAATGCAGTCAAATGCAATGAATGAGCACTAGGATTTGTCCGAGGCTGGGCTCCAGTTACTCTCCTCATCTCCTCTGTTTCAAACAAATTTGAATTGAATCTCTCCACGAACACCTAAATACCTGTCTTAAGGTTGGAGCTCTCTCTCTCTGTCTTGTTTTCTCATATGCAGGCCAGTCGGGTCCCAAGTTACCTAATCTCAAGCAAGACTTAGCCCCTCTCCATGTCGACTCATGTTTGCTAGCAAAAGGCCACAACTAAGCAAATACATGGCCAGAGGGCCTGGTCCCGTCAGATGGTGCTGCACGTAGTATATACTTGAGCCTGTATTTGTGTGCGTGCGTGATGTCCAAACTCTGATCTGATCTGATCTGACTTAATCTCCTATGGCTCATCTCGGCTTCTATGCTCATGGCCCCTCCCCGTCTTGCCCACTCGCTCAGAGAATAGTGAGAGCAGCCTTCAGCTGGATCTAGCAGGTTCTTCTGCTGGATCATTGCCACCAATTGCTCTTTCGACCTTGATATCTCATCGTTACTGGCAAAGGCAAGGGCTGCTGACTTCCTCATCCCAGCGCCGTGGCAATTGGAGATGTGAGGCGGCGAGGTCTACAGCACCGTACTTTTTACCTACCTTCCTCCAAGTCCTTGCAGCACTCATATAGGTTTAAAGTGCACGCGGCGCCAGGTGGTCGAATTCTGTGTGCGTGCCATACCGTGCCCTTGTTCTTTCTTGGATACGTATGACGACAGGGAAAGCATACATACCATGCAAAGACAAGCAGCCGTAAATGGGAGCGGATCCTGGCTGGCACTTCTCGTTCCAATGGATCCGCCGGACTGGGGGTCCCAGTCCGTTCAAGAGGCTCCTCTTGCTGCTCATGTGCTCATCTGTGGCCCTGTGCGAGCCAGGCCCGCAGGCGCTAAACACTCGGCAGCAGAAGTCAAATCCAAGGACTGGCAAGCTTGACCTGCTGAGTGACCCGACGACCCTGCAGGGTCTCAGATTCTGTTTGTAGAGTCGCTCGAGTCTGTTGTTGGTTCGCCTGCTATTTGTGCGGCGACTCGTCCTCGACGAATTGGCTCCTTTCCTTGCCCGTTCAGCGGTCATAAACCCGACAATTGCCACGGGCTATCAGGCCCCTCAACTTGTGAGCGAGCAAACCGGCGAGCTTTTCACCTGAAGTGACTGCCGGCTCCCAAGTTGTGATTCGTATTGACTATCGAACCTGTACCAGATGGGAAGAGCCGAATGGCGATCTGAGCAACGCCGACTACGGAAGGACCGGTCCCTGCAAGCTTGGCCGCAGGGAGACGAGGAGAATCATCGGGTCTCTTTGCCATGGCCCACGGATGTTTTCCCAATCGTCAGGGTACCTCGAAAGCCGCACGCAGAGATGCCCGAGTGTTGGGCTGCATGGGGGCACGGTTCACCTAGTGAGGGCACGGCGGCCCGCTTCGCGCATGTCAGGATCTATACCGCCTCCATGCCTGAGACTACAGGGGCATCGGGACATGGACAATTCGAAGACTTAAAGATCGGTAGAACGCCCTCAACAAGCCCCTGGTGATTCAAAAAGACAATGGAGTGACTCAGAACTTCCCAAAATAGGGCTCATGTCTTGCTCGGACAGTACATTGACGGGATGAGCCCGTCCCTTTCGTCGGGTATCGGCATACAATGGATTTAGTTGTCTCCTGACACATGTAGACTTACCAAAGGATAAAGGGTGAGAAACGGTGGGAACTCGCATACATTGAATAGTCAAGCTGCGGTGGTCGTGACAGAGGAGCACCTGACAGGGGTGTGTACTTGACTGCCATCCTCTCACTGTGGATGGCTACCTCGTTCCGTCCAGAATGGGATCCTCAGGGCAGGTGCCCTCGAACTCTGTTCAATACTGTTATGCAAGTATAGTTTGATTTGAAAGCCGCCACTCTCTACTCGCGGGTGTCATTAGCGTAGAGCGTCGTAGGAGAGACGGGTGCCTCTTTGGGGTCAAGTCTATGGCCACCGATCTGGGCCGCCCGCATGGGCTTTCTATTTTCAGGTGAATCGCGAGCCTCAAGGGCAAGGACTATCAACAAGGCGAGCATGGTTACCGGCGAAACAAGCTCCTGAGACCAGGCGGCTACACTACTGCGGGAGCAAAAAACGATGTCGTCTGATCGGTACCACA